GGTGTGTAGGTTGTCAAAACCCTAACTTAAAATCTGACTAAATAACCAAACAGCCTCTCGGGTGACTTTCCATACTACTTAAGTCATCTAAGAAGTCGCTTGGATCCAAAAATTCGCCTGAAGCTTGTAGCCTGCGAACAAGTGGCCTGAAACATTGTTTGGCCATAACGTCTTCATTTTAGCTAGATTTTGCTCCGAAAGGGACCATTGGACTCTCTTTTGAGTCCTCTTTTCAAAAGGACTCTGAAATCTTGCATTTAAGCCTAAATTGACAATAAAATGTCAGAATAACGATTTGTTTGCTTGAAAACCGAACGAAACTACACGAAAAATGGTACAGTGATAACGCCAAAACTAACGTTATCACATATCAGTTAATTTTTCAAGCCACCAATTCCAAAGATTTTAACTCATAATTCTATACTCTATAATAGTGAACATGAAACTAAGTGAATCTTTAATGGATTCCATATAATTCTCTAAAATATATAACAAACGCATAAATCCCTAAAATAAATTATATTCTACTCCAATATATTTAATATTTTAGAGATTTTAATTTTAATTATATTATTAAAATATTTAATGACTTTATCATCCCAATACATTTTTTAAAGCTTTATATAATTATAAATAATTTAATTTCATTAGTAGCATTGAATAAAAATGTCATTTTTTACTTCTTTGACATCAAGTTTGGGTCTGTTTGATTTAGCAGAATGTTTTTAAGAGATTTGGATTACATAAAAGGATTTGGATTTAGGAGTATTTGGAATTAGAAGGATCTGAAACATTTGGTGTGTTTGGTTTGTAGAATTTGGAATATAATTGATTGCATTCCTTATAAATAATCTATAAAAAAATAATATTAAAAATCATGCTAATAATTAAATTATCTTTTTATTAATTAAATATTACAAAACAAATGTTTTTAACTCATTTTTAAAACATTTGTAAACAAATCATATGAAATCTCGCGAAATACCAACTACCCCATGAGAGATTTCTAAATCTCATGTTTGTGGGATTTTTGTGATTTCAAATACAAGCATTGCTTAAAACCAAAAATAGAATTAGAATGAAATTTAATTCTGAATCCCTCCAAATCTTATCGAATCCCATAAACCAAACGGGAGCTTCGAGGATTTTCTAAATTTGAAGTTTTTTTTTTTCTTGTTTTCTATATATATATATATATATATATATATATGTGTGTGTGTGTGTGTGTGTGTGTGTGAGCCGACTAATTTAAGGGTGATCACCTATCTTGCAGATAGTCTGGAGTCACCGCATTTGAACCTCCGTGGCCACAAGAGAATTTTTATTTCTACTTGGATTTGAACCTGGACCTCCTGGTACTTTTGACTTTTGAAGTCAAGCTCAAACCAATCAAACACCACATTTATGGTTTGTTTTCTATATTTTATGACACATAAAAATCAAAATCATTGACTTCTTTTATTGGTACATAATTCCAACCAAAAATTCTAAGCAAACAATATTTTTAAATGGATTATTGATTAATACTTAATATTTTATATATGTTTTACTTTTAGAAGTTCTTTTTAAACATTTTATAGGATAGTATACAGATAAATACATATAAAAACATATATTTTTGTACAAGACTAATTAAAACAGTAAAAACCAGTTTGATGGATGTCATTGAATCGCTTGCTCAATGCACATGGCAAAGGGATGGAGCCTCAACATCCAATATAAATGTTGCAAGTATTCACATCAATACCATCAACCATTAATATTCAGAATGACAATAAATAACGCTCGATTTATTCGTTCAAAAAAAATATAAATATAATATTTAAAAAAACAATAATAACTAACAATAATTATTTGTAAAATGTACCATAAATTGAAGTGAATAACAAAAACAAATAAATTTTGTGGCAATCAATCACATGTGACACATTTATGATCATATGAATGTTTGAACCTACCCAAGCTTACAACATTAATGAAGTTGAGACAAAATTTATTAATAACTTGAAATGGAGTGGAAATTTTGTTGACTGGAGTGTAAAAATTGGAGACCTTTTCTACAACTCTTTAAAACTTGTATTAAATTAAGAATAAAAAAAATATTAATTTAAAATTGTAAGTTTATTTTTATTTTGAAAATTACAAATTAATTATATTATTAATATATTTAATAAAATATTATATTTCTCTTCTAGACATTTACTATCTCTGTCTTATTAATATATTTAATAAAAACCTATATAAATCTACAATGATAATTCTTATAAAAACCATCTCCAATGGATCAGTAAAACCCTTTTTATCGGTTTCTTCGATCCAATCGAATCGCACAGAAAAGAGGTAAACAACTTCCTTGTTTTTGGTTTCACGCTACATATTTGCAGTGCGAGTGAAAATTTCACACGCCAAAATGATATCGCACCAATTTAAAATTTAAAATTATTATTATTTATTAAAAATATGTCTTTTTAACACTTAGTTTTACATAATAATGGTTTAAATTGTCTTAATTATGTTATTTGAATTAATGTAATCTTTTTCATGTGATGTAAAATTTATTAATTGAACTTTGTCGTTTTTATTTTATCAAGTCTTCATTGCTAATTATTATAAATTAATTAATTACTAAATATTTTTAAAATAATTTAATGATAAATAAAATATATTATTTTAATATGAGATTTATAAATCCGATATTTTTGTAAAATATGGTTGAAGTTGATTTTCTTTTTAATATTAACGAGTCGATTATATTTTATATATTTTTAGCGTTAAGGTTGGACGAATATCCATAACCATCGTTGATAGAGGGGTTATGAACCGCTTCATGGAATTGAGTTATGCATTGAGAGAAACCGGTTCCTCCTCCACGTAGGAGACCGCTCTCAATTAGGAAGCGCTCCTTGTAGCAAATATAGTGGGACCCACTTTATAGAATAATATTTATCTATTTTCTTCTTTTATGTTTTTTTTAATATTTAATATAATAAAATTTATACTATATTATAAATCATTTGACAAAAACTCTTAAAAACCATTTTTATATATAAAGTACTGTTTATTAATGCATGTTACTTAAAACTCAAGATTACAAATAAATTATACATAAGTACAACTTATTAAAACTTTAAATCTAAATTCGTGTAACTAACTGCAGATAAACATAATCAAATACAAGATAAACATCTCATTTTAAATATAAAAATTCTAAAATATAATTAAGATAATCATTAAGTTCTAACAGAATACTTAAGTACTTAATGATTATCTTTATAAAATGTTATATTATTAAACCAAAAATAAATTATTTCATTATTCAACTTAAATTACTTAAATTAAATTATAATAAAAAATTAAAGAAATTACATAAAAAGAGAACTTTTAAATAATTGATTTGATATTAACATTTATATATATATATATATATTAATTTTTTATGATATATTCAAATTTATATTTTATTCAAAAATAAAATCATTATTGTTTTCTTAAAAACACATAAAATCGTATTAGAACATCGACAAAAACAAATAATAAAATAGAATATTAAAATCGAGATGTATCTCGCTGCATTGCGCGAGTACCCTTCTAGTATCATATAAAATAAAATGTTAGTATATATTTTCAATAAAACAAAAAATAAATACTTTTTTATTTATAACATGAATTACTATAATATTATAATTAGAAAACAAATTGTTAGTCTTTTATCTATTTTTTTTATCTACACATATTTAGCATTGGAACTGGCCTCGATCCGTCGAAGAACTTCATCCACCAGCCTCCCTCAGGGACAGGAATTCCCCATTAAACCGGTTCTCAGCAACAGAGACGTGGATCCCCGTTTGGCTCAAACTGGGGATGGTATCGCACGCCCGCCCCGTACCCGTATGTATATTAATTAATAAATTATATTATATATTATTTGTTTCTATTAAATCAATAAATAATAATTCTATTTCAATATATTTTGGATATCACTCGATATGTATTGATGCATGTGACGTTATTTTTTTAGATTAAATTTAATTTCTTTTGGTTTCCGATTTATTAATTGTATATGATGATGAATATTTTTGTATTAAGTTAAATTTCTTTTGATTTTAGGTTTATTGAAAAAATGTGAGAATAAAACATGTGTAACGTCTCACACATTTGATTTAATAAAAACTTATACAAACAAAAAAAAAATCTCCATTTCCCCTTTGGAGATCCCCGTTCGCCATTGAAGACGAGAATAAGGCTGTGATCAAATTCCCTGGTAGGGATGGGAACGGAGACGAGGACGAGGATTGAGGTCCCCGCTCCATTACCATGCTTACACAAATTAATTATCAAGTTTTATCTACAAATTATCGTCTTTTAATTATAATAAGTAATTTTTTACTATCATAATTTTTATTGTTGTAGTTTTTTATTAAATAAACCATGAACCAGTAAAAGGTTTATGAAATTTATAGGAAAAAAGAAAACTAATATGATAAAGTCCCGAATCTCTAAAGAATGTCCTATCAATCATTCTATTCTCATAGATCAAGTATACCTGGTTGAATTCCAGTGAGAATAAAACTTATCTTAAGAAAAGTAAAAAAAAAAATACCACATTTAAATCAATCATAATTGAAGATCAATACTAATTCGTTATACCGAGCTACACTAAATCAATTCACGTGATAAGTCTAATTCATAGACAGAGATGAAACTATAAGTAATCAAGGGTCTAAATTACTTCTTATCATTTTCATCTTAACTCCTATTTTCACACAATCATTTTGGTTGAATCATCAAACCATATGTTTGGGTCGGATATATATAACGCATATTGTTTGGATTAATTAAAACCAAGTAATTTTATATCTTTCTAAAAATCAATACTATGATCAAATTTTATACGCTTATAAAAGTTAATATCTCTTATTACAAGACATTTTTTACGTAAACGATAATTAATTTATAACAAGCAAAATAAAATAAAATGATACAAGAAAATGAAGAAATAAATAAAAATGGTAATTTATATTTAGAAATAGTGTTTACCCGTTTGCATCGAAGGAATTTGATCGCTTTAGAGCTGGAAATTCGTCCTTTTTTGTCTCTATCAAGCTCCCGCTGAAATATTCTTTATCTTCTTTTTTACCAACCCTGTTTTCCCCCGCACCCTGCTCCACTGAATTATTCCCACCCTCGCCACGTGTCACCATCCTAGACTCGTAAGCTGAACCGAGCGAGAATTCCGGGTTATCATGTTTACTGTAGGCTCCCGGTCCACAGTCCCGAAACGATACCGAACCGCATGAGATCAGCTGCATCAGCACCGACGATGCTCTCATTTTGTTTCCCGCCGTTGGATTGATTTCACCGTTTGTTTCTGGCCTTACGATTAGCTTATCATCGGATTTCATCAACGACTCTAGGGTTTCGGGGCTTGAATCGGACGGCGGTGGTGAAATCTCGTTTCTGCTAAGCTCGGAACTCTCGGTGTCCTCATACGGTTCGTTTCGTTTGTCTTCGACTTCGCTCATCATTGCCCTCCGGCGACGGCGGTTTTCGTCGGTTTGGGTGGAGGCGTTGGCTGCGACTCGAACGGCGGAGGACTCCCCGGTGTAGACTTTGTACTCATGCAGATCGATTGCGGTCCATGGCTGGTTCTTCCTACTCCTGCTGACCGGGAAATCAAACTCGTCGATGGATTTTAGAGTGTCGGAAGACGGGGATTTTTTCGACATAGATGACGGAGCTTCATCGGATTTGGAACTGAACGATGCACCTTGAGAATCGAAGAGCTCCGATCCTTTCAGAATGTACTCTTGGCCATGGGCTGGGTAAATGAAATCATTCTCGGCTAAATCGTGCCATACGAATCCATTTTTATAGCTCCTAAATTACAGAAATCGAATCAATTCTTCTGTTCATAATCGCAATTAGCCAATTACAACGATGATAAACCAAACATTTTGAAGTCAGAAATTCAGAATTATCCTCTGGATATATTTCACCATAACAGAAACACACTAACCTTTTAGACGACCATGAATACATTGCCGCCATTCCTTTTCCACGAAGAGAATTCAGACGATCGATTACATCTAAAATTTAAACGATGTAATGAGAATTAAGTTGAAGGCAAATGACATGACGATTCACGATTAACTGTGTAAGTTCAATTACCTCGCAGATAAAGGCCATCGGCGGAGGAGGGAGGAACCTCAAGGAAATGAGGATGTTCGAGGTGGCCATTACGGGAGAGGTAGTAAACTACAGGTACCTTCCGGTGTCTGTGGTGGTGCGGCGGTGGTTCAATCCAGACTTTGGTGCGTTCAGGGCTGCGTTGAGTGGTAAGGTGCTTCCATTTCTTAGTCATGTGGTGGAGGTCCGCCGGCGTCCTTGCTGATTTGGGGATGACTTCCATTGAAGAGAGCTGTGAATTGAAAGGAGGGAAGGGTGAAGAGAAGATTTATTCAAAATGGGATACGGAAGACAATGCAGTAGAAAACAAAATGAGGAGTTGAAAGGGGTGGTGGTGGTTGTCGTCTATCCATGCCTCCTCCATCGTAGGCCATATGGTGGATGTTGGTAGCTGGGTATTCAATTTTTTGCAGGGTAAATTACAAGTTTCATCCCTATGGTTTACGAAAATTATTGGTTCTGGTCCCTACAGTTTAAGAATTACAATTTATTTCTAATGTTTGTGAATTTTTTTGGATTTGGTCTTTTATTCTAACAGCTGTTAAAGAGGGTTTGTTAACATGTGAAAGGCATTAGGCATTTTGGTAATTCTCTATTTTTTGTTAAATAGTCTTATTGTATAAAACTACAAGTAGGGTTGTAAACAAATCGAACGAATACGAACGCAGATTTGTTCGTGTTTGTTCGCTTAAGTTAACTAAAAAAGAGAATGAACAGTAGCGGTAACCAAATGAAATTTTTGTTTTTGTGTTCACTCGTTAAGAAAATGTGTTTGTTCGTGTTCATTTATGTTCATCAATTAACATACTAAACGAGCGTAATCGAATAAACATAAATGAATATAATTGAATGAACACAGATATACTAACCGTCATTACTCATCATTTCGTTCCTAAAAAATAACATAATAAAATGTAAAACCTGGCAAATAATAGAGAGAAAAAAGGAATTATAAAATTTTAATTTACTTAACACTTTTACATAATGTCATAATATATAAATATTTTTATATATAAAACCAAACGTAAATGAACGAACGTGTTTAAGTTCGTTCATTTCACTGAAAGAAAAAAAAAATGTGTTCATGTTCCTCTATTTATTAAATAAACAAATTTCCCATCAAACAGTTCACAAAAGATTCATTGAACGTTCGGTTCGTTTTCAATCATAACTACAGCTTTACAAGTACATGAAAGTACGTAAAACATTAAATTACAAAAATGATATCCACTTTCTTATACTTGTTTATCTTCTTGGATGACTGGATTCCACTGCTCTACCCCCCATTTTCTTCTCATGCGAACACATGTAATGCATTAAACAAAATCTAAAGTCTTATACCACGTTCTTCAACATCCCCACTATGAAACAATGAGATTCGTAACTCAAGGATCCATGAATGAAATTGTAGGCGGAATCTTGGAGGATGTTGAAAAGGATTTAATGGTTTTTTTTTCCTCCACAATTTACAAGTACGGTTTTGTTGTGGCTTCCTTCATAAAACCCTCATTCACGTTCCAAAATCCACTAGTTTCGAATCCCTAAGCTATGTTATAGAACACCTGAAGGTGTAAAAAGACTTCCACGAATCAAATGGAAGTCTTGATGATCCGAAAAAGGGGTTGTGGCTGAATTGATGTTGATTTTTGGATTTGTTGTATTATTGTTACAAAGTAGAACCACAGCGAAAAAACAGCCTCTGTCTTTGTGGTTAGGAAGATATTATTGGAGAATAAAAGGGGGATGGGACATTGACTTTTTTTGCGGTAATAAGGAAATATACGTACAATTTGGTGGACTTCTTCACCATAATCTTTTGGGGTTGGGGAGTCGAAGAACGCATATGGGAGGAAGAAAATGCGAAGGGGATGGGTTGAGTTTTAATTTAGGTTTTTTTCTTTTTAAATCATTTACACATTTGTATCTATGCATTCTAAACTCGTACAATAAACAATATTAACAAAGAAAATAGTAGAAGGACCAAATTACTGTCACATGGGTCACTCAACATATCTTAGGGGCCGTTTACCAAACGGCTTACATGGGTAAGTGCTTACTGGCAACATTCAATTAATTACCGGATAAGATTTTAGTCTACCAAAACGGTATCTTATGCAACAATTTATCCAGTAAGTGCTACCCATGATAAGAGCCGTCGCCCTCACTTACCAGGTAAGACTCTCGGTCCTTGCTTTGCTCTTACCAGATAAGATTTTTGGTTCTTGCCATATACATCCGGTAAGGTAATGTGATTTGTTAAGCGCTTACCCGGGTAAGCATTTGGTAAACGGTCCCTTAGATTGAGGGACCAAATCCAAAAAAAAACTATAGAAAAGAAATTGTAATATTTAATTTGTAGAGGTGAAATCCAACGACTTCCATAAACACTAGGGACCAGAACTGTAGTTTACTCAATTTTCTATTTACCGCTCAATACAACTCGTTTTTAAACACATGTCGTTTTCATTTCAACCTTTTCATTTTTTGTTTTCAATCTTATTAAAACGTAGCGTAAATTACACTTATGGTCCTTAGACTTTTCATTCATTAACAACTCTCGTCTTTTTTTAAAACTAATTATAGTTTTGGTCATCTTACCATTTTGTTTCATTTTTTATCCCTCATGCTAACTTTTGTAAAAGAGTCCATTAACTTAAAGGTATTTTGGTCTTTTTAATCCTTTTTGTCAAGTTCTTATTTTATTTTATTAAAAATATTTTTTTATATCATCGACCCCGTCATCTCCTACGACGAGATTCATATTCCCCGCAAACAAATGAAACCCGATTATGATATGTTGAAAGATTAATATACATGTGAAGATAATTGACCTATTTAAATTAGTAGTTAGAGATTAATACCGTGTTAGTAGTTTAATAAGCTTAACGAGACTCATAAGTTATTCAGTTAGTTATACATGATTATCTTGTAGCGGCTTAATGATATAGAAAGTGACTTACTCGATAAGATTTCAGGGAGCTTTAAGCAGAAAGTCGGGATTTTTCCAAACGTGCCCCTCTCAGTTGAAAATGTTCTCTTTCAATCTAAGAAAAAAACAATTCCAAACAAAAATCTATTGAATTTATATAAACAGATTAATCACACTAATAACTTTATCCATATATAACTTAATAGAAAATCAACCAAATAATCCCTAACAGCATACGTTAAACTCATATCTCATAAATGTATAGTAATTGTATATTATGCTTACAAAACAATATGTAAATATTTGAAAATATGTGAAAAATCAACTTTCAACTTGATGAGCTCCTTTGCTATCTTACTCTATTAAGAATCTGTTTAATGTGTATTATTGAAAGAAAATACATCATGTCTACTTGTTGACACTGAATTCGTCTGCTGTTGGTTTTTGAAATAACCGAGATGCAACCATTTAATTTTCTTAAGGTTGTACGTATAAAGTAAACTAGAAGGGTACTCGCACAATCCAGCGAGATATATCTTGATTTTAAATTTTTTTTTTTGTCTCAACCAATGTTATAATACAGTTTTATGTGGTTTTAAGAAAATGATAATGTTTTTACTTTTGAATAAGATATAAATATGAATATATCATAAATTTTTTAAAAATATATATATATTGATATTAGTACCAAACTAACTATTTAATTTTTTTTTTGTGTATTTGATTTAGGTTTAATAACAAAGTTATTTATTTTTGTTTTAATAATATAATTTTTTTATAAATATAATAATTAAGTATTTTGTTATAATTCAATGATTATCCTAATTATATTTTAGATTTTTTATATTCAAAATGAAATGTTTATCTTTTATTTGATTATATTTATTTGCAGTTAGTTACACAAATTCAAGCATGAAACTCTAATAAGTTGTACTTACATACAATTTACTTGTAATATTGAATTTTAAGTAATTTACATCAATAACAGTACTTCATATATAAAAAAATAGTTTGTAAGAGTTTTTGTCAAATGTTTTATAATATAGTATAAATTATGAATGTTTTTTTTTTCAAAATTATTAATTTAATATTTGATTTTGATTAGTTCGTAGTTAAGACCGAATCTTACGGATTTCATAAAATACTCAATTGTCTCTTGAATGAGAATATATATACTGGAGCGTACTCACGCAATGCAGCGAGATACATTGTGATTTTAATATTTCATTTTATTTTTTATCTCAGTCAATGTTATAATATAGCTTTATATGATTTTGAGAAACCGGTGATGTTTTTATTTTTGAATAAAATATATGTTTAAAGATATTATACAAATTTGACAAAAATATATCGATATTAGTATCAAATTAACTATTTGAAATTCCTCATTTTTTTGTGTAGTTTTTTTAATTAAACTTTTTATAATTTAATTTATGTACAATAACGAAGTAATTTATATTTGGTTTAATAATATAATTTTTTTATAAAGATAATAATTATTTATTTTGTTGGAACTCGATAATTATTCT